TCATCATCAAAAAGGGAGAGATTGTTGAATCTCATATTTTGATTATGAAACCAAATGATAAGTGTTTATGATTTAATCTATATTTTGAGTGATGTGGGATGCTTCGATCAGGGAGAGACAATTAAAGCATGAAGAATTATATTGGGCGGAGAAACATGTTAGAAGATTGGATGTCGCATCGGAGGATCGGTCGACGTATCAACAGAAGGCTTCGGGCCCTGGATTTGGACATCGGGCCAAGAAGAGCAGATATTGCACCAAGGATATTGGAGTTGCAAGGTCAACTGGCCGATTAGGCTATCCGCAAGAGAGGATGATCCGCCGAAGAATCGGACGAAGCATCAATGGACCAATGACATGTCGGACGACATGATTCATGCTTAGTAATAATTGTATAAATCGAAGTGTATTTTTATGTGTGCAGGATTAACTAAGAAAGCAAGGCATATAGCAAAATGAAGTCCTAGAGTCAAGAACGCGATTTCGTTGGGAGTTCGAGAGTTCGTCGGAAGTCCGGACATTCGTTAAAAGTTCTACAGGAATTGACCGAGAAGTCCTGGAGCTTACAAAAGAAGCTCATCGAAACTCACCAAGAAGATTGTCATGAAGTCCAGGAGCTTGCCGGGAGTCCGCCATAACATTACCGAGAGATCGTCGGAAGTTCACCAAAAGATCGTCGGAAGCTCATCGGAAGAAACTAGACTTATCTTGCTTAGAATATATCCTAGAAATCATAGTTAACATATAATTAGAGTTAGGATTGGGAGGTAATCCCATCAACTTTGTTAGGGGCCAACTAGGCCGAAGGTGGGTTGGTTTGGGCCAAATTCAAGGCCCAACCAGGGTGCTAAAACCCTGGCCAACGGTGGCACCGCCAGGGCCGGTGGTGGCACCGCCAAGTGAACATCACCCCAAATAATCTGGGCGGTGGTACCACTGGCAGCAATGCTGCCAACGGTGGTACCGCCCTTGTTAGAGAATGGTACTGCCTAGTACCAGATCTTGTGACGGTAGTACCGCCCAGGAACGGTGGTGGTACCACCAGTACCCAGGAAACTTGGGATGAGACCTTTTTAGCTCCAAGATTGAATCAACTTGAAGTTTATAAATACCCCTCTCATCCCTAGTTAACAAATACAAATATAGAGAATTTAAAGAGGGAAAAACGCTATTGTAATCTATTGTGAGAATCCTCCTCTTCTAGCTTAAGTGTTAGAATAGTTTGAGAGAGGAGTGAGTATTTGTAATGGTTGTCTCCTAAACCCAGTAAAAGAAAAAGAGGGGTGTAAGAAAGAGGTTGATCTTTGCCTATTAAAGGAAGATCGATAGTGGATGCCGGTGGCCTCGACGGAAGAGGAATCGGAGGAGTGGATTTAGGTCACAATGACGGAACCACTATAAATCGGTTTGCATTTTTGTTTTGCCATTTATCTTAACTAGAAACTACCTTCCTTGCTTTACATCAACTACACTTTCATATGCTTTCAATTTAAAGATCTTTCTGAAATGGTTTTCGTCGAAATCAGATTTTATCGTATGAAGGGTTTTCTAACCGACGTAATTTTTACTACTGCACTAATTCACCCCCCCTCTTAGTGCCGACTCATTCCTAACAGTCTTTACATAGGCCCAACTAGCCCATAATTAGGTTGGCCCAATTCTAATCCCAATTATATACTAACTACAAAATCTAAGACATTTACTAAGTTAAACAAGTCCGTAAGTTTAGTTTCTTCTAGCGAGCTTCTGACAATCTTCTGGTGAACTTCCGACGATCTCTCGGCAATGTTCCAGTGGACTCCCAGTAAGCTCTTAGACTTCATGACAATCTTCTTGGTGAGTTCTGATGAGCTTCTTCTGGTAAGCTTCTGGACTTCTCGGCTGGTTCCTACAAAACTTCCGACGAACATCTGGACTTCCGATGAACTCTCAAACTCCCAACGAAATCGCGTCCTTGACTCCAGGACTCCATTTTGCTTTATGTCTTGCTATCATAGTTAATCTTGCACATGTAAAAATACACTTTGATCTAGACAATTAATACTAAGCATGAATCGTGTTGTCCGGCATGTCATTGGTTCATCGACGCTTTATCCGATTCTTTGATGTATCATCCTCTCTTATAGCCTATTGCCCAATCCGCCAGTTGACTCCGCAACTCTAATATCCTTGGTGCAATATCCGCTCTTCTTTGCCCGATGCCCAAATCCATGGCCCGAAGCCTTTTGTCGATATGTCGACCGATCCTCTAGCTCAACGTTCAATCTTCTGATATGTTCCACCGGCCCAACATGATTCTTCCTGCTTTAATTGTCTCATCCTGATCGAAGCATCCTGCGTCACTAAAAATGCAGATCAAATCATAAACACTTATCAATTTCTTTCATCTTCAAAATACGAGATTCAATGACCCCTACCCCCACCCTCTCTCCCTCGCGTCTCAGTGTCATTACTATCCTAACATACCATACATCCCCTATTTTGATAATTAATCACCCAAAAATATGAAAAAGAAAATAAAAAGTGATATTAATCATCATTTGATTATGTTATGATAATTTGGATATAGATAGGCTTGGGGATGATTCAATATGATTTACACTCAAGTTACACACTCTAACATATATTGAACGTAGAAATCATCTATTTAAGAATATATGCTATATGACAAAAATATATCATCCTAAGAACACAAAGATTACATAGCCTAGCAAAACTAGATATCATGTGCCCTCAATTCCTACCATTCAATTTACAAAAAAAAAAAAGCCTAAATGGTCAATATAACAACAACTACTAACTATGTATAGTAGAAGAGGGTTTAGTGATAGTTAAGTATGAGATGGCGAAGGAGGGGGTGATGCAATAGGGGTTGAAGTAGGAATGGGTGATTCATGCTTCTTCAACTTTACACTAAAAAATATTAATTAGTTGCATATAACTAAATAATGATTAATATAAATCTTTAAGTTTTGATATATTAGCTATAGTAACCACTTCATCTACTCTTTTTTCCTCAAAGTCTAAGGGATCTATGCAATGGCAGTATTCTTCTGGGGGATAAAAAATAAAAAAATTCAAACATAGATATATCACAAAATATATTATAGAGGTCAGCACCTTTACATTCCAATCAATCAATATGTCTAATTAAATAAATTAACATTAAGTTGGTTTGATAAAGATAACTTACAAGTAGGTTATTCATTAGGTTATCAATGAAGTGCAATGATCTGAGCCTAGACCAATATAAAAAACAAGTATGTAATCTAATGCAATCCACATTAATTTATATAACTCAAGTTTAATTTAAATATAAATAGGAGAATTATCCATAAACCTATCTAAACATCTCCAAAACTATGATATTAACAAGTTTAGCATTATTTTTATTTTAATTTTATGATTATTAATTATCAAAATAAGATATTTTTATGTAGAATCTATGATTGAGTATAACTCGAGTTTAACCCAAGTATAATTTGAGTATAACACAAGTGTAAATAGGAGAATTATCCTCAAATGTATCCAAAGTTTCTCAAGACTATCATAACATAGATCCTAACATGTTTAATATCATTGTTTTCTAAATTTTCCTGAATTTAGAATCATTAATTGTCGAAATAGGAGATTTCTATATTAAATCTGTGATTGAGTATAACCTAACTATAATGCATGTGTAATTATAGTAATTACACTTGAAATCTATCGAAACATCTTTATAACAATTACAACATAATTCTAATATATTTAGTATCATTTTACCTAATTTATTTTATTTTTAGATGATTTTAAAAAAAATTTAAAAAAAATATTTCTAAAGTTCTAGACAATATTATCACTTGGTCCAGGATAATACCACCTCCCCATGTAGGCACTGGGTATAAGCATTGCCACCATGCAGAGGTCCAAAAATTCAATTAATTTGTTGGCCTTAAATTCAATTGATCTACAACCCTAAATCACCTAAATAGTTAAGTTTTACATAATAGTAGTTATATATTATATATAAAAAAAGTTTAGGTAAAGGTTTAGTGGAGACAAGAGAGGAGACATCAAAGAGAAATCATGAAGGAAGAATTGATGATACCGGAGAAAAATCACTAAGCCTCTTGCATGAGAGAAATGGATGCCAATGAAGCCCAAGAGGAAGGAGCTTAAAGTTGGTGAAGAAAAGACACAGTAGTCGAAGGGGGATAAGTGGCATTGCCACCTACGATCGATACTAATGAAGCCGAAGAGAATACGAGTCATGTATTATCATCGTTGACAAAGCCAGAGAAGAGTGAAACCGAGTGCAAACATCATAAAGGAGAATTCCTCATTGAGACCACTTATACTAGGATTACACTTAATATGTAGCCCACGAGTATAAACTCTATGTATTAAGTGGAAGACCCTAACCCACAACTGTCCAGACTCACAACAACTCGACCTGCAACCAATTCGACCCAAACCGAAAGAATCGATTTGAATTGGATCGAGAACTCGATCAGGTTGAACCAACCCATGAATCGATCTGACTTCAATCAGATCGATTCAAGGGTATAAATGAATTTTTATAACAAGATGTGTCTATGGTAAAAACTAAAGATGCGGCGTCGTATCAATAATATATCAGTGTTAATTTATGGAGAAAAAGAATGAAAGCTACTGAAACGCTGCAAGCCACCCTGAAGAAGAGGACAAGATGGATAGGGAGGATCACTACAGCCATAAATGTTAGTGTTACGTCTATGTCTCGTGGAAGTCTATCCTTTTGGAGGTAGCTGATCCACCCATCTTGAGTGGCTCATAAACTCAACATACTTCTATCGAAAAATATCCTCAACCATTTATACCCAATGTCTAGGGCGGGGAGGGCGGGCGCGTGGCCGGAGAGAAGAGAGTGGGGTGAATGTGTATGTATATTTCATAGTGCCGTCACTTAACGTGGTAACAATAACCATGCAAGAGGAACAATACACAAAGGCGGGAGGACCTTTACAAGAATCTGGAAGAAGAGAGCAGAAAGAACATTTCCCAACTAAAGAAACTACTTTGAAAAGAGTTCCAAGCTTCAAAATAAATAGCAGAAAATACAGTTTGTCGAACAATCAAATAAATCTGATGAAGACAACTTCATCAATCATGAAGAAGAACATGCTCAAGGACATTCGAGAACTTTATTATGGGCCAAAAGCCAGATTTCAATCTCTTAAGCAGGTTTCTTTTGCTATAGTGTCATCAAACTCACAAGGGCACCGAAATCTAATTTCCCTTTGTAATCACAGGTGACAGAGCAGCGTTGAACAACTTCGTCTTATAGAGATTTGGCTGCTGCGATGATACTCTCTGCTGTTATGCCAAACTCCTTGTATATTCTCCCAGCCGGTGCACTTGCTCCAAACCGGTCGATCCCAATTGCCTTGCCTTTGCTCCCAATGTATTTTCCCCATCCAAGTGTGGCCCCTGCTTCAATACTAACCCTAGCAGTGACAGCAGCAGGGAAGACGCTTTCCTTGAATTCATCCGATTGCTCATCAAACAACTCCCAACAAACAAGGGATACCACACGTACCGCTTTCCCCTCTTTCCTCAGCTCATCTGCAGCCTTTGCTGCAATCTCCAGTTCTGAACCAGTGCCTATCAAAATCAGATCTGGTTTGTTGCCAGAGGAATTATCTGATATGATATATCCTCCCTTCTCAACTCCTTCAATTGATGTTCCTGCAAGCTGAGGAAGCTTCTGACGGGAGAGGGCAAGGACTGACGGCCTCTTCCTGTTGAGCACTGCAACCTTGTATGCCCCAGCAGTCTCATTGCCATCAGCAGGCCTGAGCATAAGAATGTTGGGCATGGCTCGGAAGCTTATCAGATGTTCAATTGGCTGATGGGTAGGGCCATCTTCTCCAAGACCAATAGAATCATGTGTCATGACATAGATGACTCCTGCCTCACACAATGCCGAGATCCTCATGGCAGCTCTCAT